GAGTGGCGCAGCGGAAGCGTGCTGGGCCCATAACCCAGAGGTCGATGGATCGAAACCATCCTCTGCTAATTTCGGAGTTTTCAATATTTTAGTCCACCAAATGAATATCTGTTTAATGTATTGGCCACTAAATAAATTGCCATTGACAACCCAGTGCAGCCAATTCAGCAAGCATAAGCATCCCTCCTCACATTCTATGCACATTAAAAATTATGGTACAGATCCATATCCACTCTTTTGAAACCCACCTTTTTCTGTTTCAAACAATGCCAACATCTGGTTGGGATTAACCTTAGTAAACCTTTTGAACTGAAATCAATTTATTCGCAACACGTCAGCTCCAGTGGCCTAATGGATAAGGCACTGGCCTCCTAAGCCAGGGATTGTGGGTTCGAGTCCCGTCTGGGTGATTTAAAGCAGAGTGGCGCAGCGGAAGTGTGCTGGGCCCATAACCCAGAGGTCCATGGATCGAAACCATCCTCTGCTAGATGTGTGTTTTATACCACAAAGTCAATTGCAATTTGACATCCAGGTCTAGCCACCTCAGCAAACATGAGGATTTTGGCTCAAATTCAGTGCCCATTTTAGAGATCCGCAACCAGTGTTAGCCAACAATCGTTTTTCACTCTCAATTTTGAGGTGAATCGAGCCTGGGTTTGGCAATTTGAGTCAAATAGTTAGTACTACAAAGCAAAGTGGCGCAGCGGAAGCGTGCTGGGCCCATAACCCAGCGGTCGATGGATCGAAACCATCCTCTGCTAATTTCGGAGTTTTCAATGTTTTAGTCCACCAAATGAATATCTGTTCAATGTATTGGCCACTAAATAAATTGCCATTGACATCCCAGTGCAGCCAATTCAGCAAGCATAAGCCTCCTCACATTCTATGCACATTAAAAATTTTGGTACATATCCATATCCACTCTTTTGAAACCCACCTTTTTCTGTTTCAAACAATGCCAACATCTGGTTGGGATTAACCTTAGTAAACCTTTTGAACTGAAATCAATTTCTTTGCACCATATCTGCCCCAGTGGACTAATGGATAAGGCACTGGCCTCCTAGGCCAGGGATTGTGCGTTCGAGACCCATCTGGGGTGATTTAAAGCAGAGTCGGGCTGCGGATGCGTGATGGACCCAGAGGTCGATGGATTGAAACCATCCCCTGCAAGATGAAATTTAACCTCCTGTGTTAGCGTCCTCTGCAAACATGTGGATTTTGCCTGAAATTCAGTGCCCATTTTAGAGATCCGCAACCAGTGTTAGCCAACAATGGTTTTGCGCTCTCAATTATGAGGTGAATCGAGCCTGGGTTTGGCAATTTGAGTCAAATACTCAGTACTAGAAAGCAGAGTGGCGCAGCGGAAGCGTGCTGGGCCCAAAACCCAGAGGCGCTGGATCGAAACCATCCCCTGCAAGATGCAATTTGACCTCCTGTGCTAGCGTCCTCTGCAAACATGTGGATTTTGCCTGAAATTCAGTGCCCATTTTAGAGATCCGCAACCAGTGTTAGCCAACAATGGTTTTGCGCTCTCAATTATGAGGTGAATCGAGCCTGGGTTTGGCAATTTGAGTCAAATACTCAGTACTACAAAGCAGAGTGGCGCAGCGGAAGCGTGCTGGGCCCAAAACCCAGAGGCGCTGGATCGAAACCATCCCCTGCAAGATGCAATTTGACCTCCTGTGCTAGCGTCCTCTGCAAACATGTGGATTTTGCCTGAAATTCAGTGCCCATTTTAGAGATCCGCAACCAGTGTTAGCCAACAATGGCTTTGCGCTCTCAATTATGAGGTGAATCGAGCCTGGGTTTGGCAATTTGAGTCAAATACTCAGTGCTCCAAAGCAGAGTGGCGCAGCGGAAGCGTGCTGGGCCATAACCCAGAGGTCGATGGATCGAAACCATCCTCTGCTAGATGTGTGTTTTATACCACAAAGTCAATTGCAATTTGACATCCAGGTCTAGCCACCTCAGCAAACATGAGGATTTTGGCTCAAATTCAGTGCCCATTTTAGAGATCCGCAACCAGTGTTAGCCAACAATCGTTTTTCACTCTCAATTTTGAGGTGAATCGAGCCTGGGTTTGGCAATTTGAGTCAAATAGTTAGTACTACAAAGCAGAGTGGCGCAGCGGAAGCGTGCTGGGCCCATAACCCAGCGGTCGATGGATTGAAACCATCCTCTGCTAATTTCGGAGTTTTCAATGTTTTAGTCCACCAAATGAATATCTGTTCAATGTATTGGCCACTAAATAAATTGCCATTGACATCCCAGTGCAGCCAATTCAGCAAGCATAAGCCTCCTCACATTCTATGCACATTAAAAATTTTGGTACATATCCATATCCACTCTTTTGAAACCCACCTTTTTCTGTTTCAAACAATGCCAACATCTGGTTGGGATTAACCTTAGTAAACCTTTTGAACTGAAATCAATTTCTTTGCACCATATCTGCCCCAGTGGACTAATGGATAAGGCACTGGCCTCCTAGGCCAGGGATTGTGCGTTCGAGACCCATCTGGGGTGATTTAAAGCAGAGTCGGGCTGCGGATGCGTGATGGACCCAGAGGTCGATGGATTGAAACCATCCCCTGCAAGATGAAATTTAACCTCCTGTGTTAGCGTCCTCTGCAAACATGTGGATTTTGCCTGAAATTCAGCGCCCATTTTAGAGATCCGCAACCAGTGTTAGCCAACAATGGTTTTGCGCTCTCAATTATGAGGTGAATCGAGCCTGGGTTTGGCAATTTGAGTCAAATACTCAGTACTACAAAGCAGAGTGGCGCAGCGGAAGCGTGCTGGGCCCAAAACCCAGAGGCGCTGGATCGAAACCATCCCCTGCAAGATGCAATTTGACCTCCTGTGCTAGCGTCCTCTGCAAACATGTGGATTTTGCCTGAAATTCAGTGCCCATTTTAGAGATCCGCAACCAGTGTTAGCCAACAATGGTTTTGCGCTCTCAATTATGAGGTGAATCGAGCCTGGGTTTGGCAATTTGAGTCAAATACTCAGTGCTCCAAAGCAGAGTGGCGCAGCGGAAGCGTGCTGGGCCCATAACCCAGAGGTCGATGGATCGAAACCATCCTCTGCTAATTTCTGAGTTTTCAATGTTTTAGTCCACCAAATGAATATCTGTTCAATGTATTGGCCACTAAATAAATTGCCATTGACAACCCAGTGCAGCCAATTCAGCAAGCATAAGCATCCCTCCTCACATTCTATGCACATTAAAAATTATGGTACAGATCCATATCCACTCTTAAAGAAAACCCACCTTTTTCTGTTTCAAACAATGCCAACAGCTGGTTGGGATTAACCTTAGTAAACCTTTTGAACTGAAAGCAATTTCTTGCAACATATCTGCCCCGGTGGACTAATGGATAAGGCACTGGCCTCCAAGGCCAGGGATTGTGCGTTCGAAACCCGTCTGGGGTGATTAAAGCATAGTGGGGCAGCGGATGCGTGATGGACCCAGAGGACGATGAATCGAAACCATCCCCTGTAAGTTGCAATTTGACCTCCTGTGCTAGCGTCCTCTGTAAACATGTGGATTTTGCCTGAAATTCAGTGCCCATTTTAGAGATCCGCAACCAGTGTTAGCCAACAATGGTTTTGCGCTCTAAATTATGAGGTGAATCGAGCCTGGGTTTGCAATTTGAGTCAAATACTCAGTGCTCCAAAGCAGAGTGGCGCAGCGGAAGCGTGCTGGGCCCATAACCCAGAGGTCGATGGATAGAAACCATCCTCTCTAATTTCGGAGTTTTCAATGTTTTAGTCCACCAAATGAATATCTGTTTAATGTATTGGCCACTAAATAAATTGCCATTGACAACCCAGTGCAGCCAATTCAGCAAGCATAAGCATCCCTCCTCACATTCTATGCACATTAAAAATGTTGGTACATATCCATATCCACTCTTTTGAAACCCACCTTTTTCTGTTTCAAACAATGCCAACACTGGTTGGGATTAACCTTAGTAAACCTTTTGAACTGAAATCAATTTCTTTGCACCATATCTGCCCCAGTGGACTAATGGATAAGGCACTGGCCTCCTAGGCCAGGGATTGTGCGTTCGAGACCCATCTGGGTGATTTGTGCAGAGTCGGGCAGCGGATGCGTGATGGACCCAGAGGTCGATGGATTGAAACCATCCCCTGCAAGATGAAATTAACCTCCTGTGTTAGCGTCCTCTGCAAACATGTGGATTTTGCCTGAAATTCAGTGCCCATTTTAGAGATCCGCAACCAGTGTTAGCCAACAATGGTTTTGCGCTCTCAATTATGAGGTGAATCGAGCCTGGGTTTGCAATTTGAGTCAAATACTCAGTACTACAAAGCAGTGGCGCAGCGGAAGCGTGCTGGGCCCAAAACCCAGAGGCGCTGGATCGAAACCATCCCCTGCAAGATGCAATTTGACCTCCTGTGCTAGCGTCCTCTGCAAACATGTGGATTTTGCCTGAAATTCAGTGCCCATTTTAGAGATCCGCAACCAGTGTTAGCCAACAATGGTTTTGCGCTCTCAATTATGAGGTGAATCGAGCCTGGGTTTGGCAATTTGAGTCAAATACTCAGTGCTCCAAAGCAGAGTGGCGCAGCGGAAGCGTGCTGGGCCCATAACCCAGAGGTCGATGGATCGAAACCATCCTCTGCTAATTTCGGAGTTTTCAATATTTTAGTCCACCAAATGAATATCTGTTTAATGTATTGGCCACTAAATAAATTGCCATTGACAACCCAGTGCAGCCAATTAAGCAAGCATAAGCATCCCTCCTCACATTCTATATGCACATTAAAAATTATGGTACCAGATCCATACTCACTCTTTGAAACCCACCTTTTTTCTGTTTTCAAACAATGCCAACATCGGGTTGGATTAACCTTAGTAAACCTTTTGAACTGAAATCAATTTATCGCAACACGTTCAGCCCCAGTGGCCTAATGGATAAGGCACTGGCCTCCTAACCAGGGATTGTGGGTTCGAGTCCCGTCTGGGGTGATTTAAAGCAGGAGCTGGCGCAGCGGAAGTGTGCTGGCCCATAACCCAGAGGTCCATGGATCGAAACCATCCTTCTGCTAGATGTGTGTTTTATTCCACAAAGTCAATTGCAATTTGACATCCAGGTCTAGCCACCTCAGCAAACATGAGATTTGGCTCAAATTCAGTGCCCATTTTAGAGATCCGCAACCAGTGGTAGCCAACCCTCGTTTTTCACTCTCAATTTTGAGGTGAATCGAGCCTGGGTTTGGCAATTTGAGTCAAATAGTTAGTACTACAAAGCAAAGTGGCGCAGCGGGAAGCGTGCTGGGCCCCATAACCCACGGTCGATGGATCGAAACCATCCTCTGCTAATTTCGGAGTTTTCAATGTTTTAGTCCACCAAATGAATATCTGTTCAATGTATTGGCCACTAAATAAATTGCCGATTGACATCCCAGTGCAGCCAATTCAGCAAGGCATAAGCTCCCTCACATTCTATGCACATTAAAAATTTTGGTACATATCCATATCCACTCTTTTGAAACCCACCTTTTTCTGTTTCAAACAATGGCCAACATCTGGTTGGGATTAACCTTAGTAAACCTTTTGAACTGAAATCAATTTCTTTGCACCATATCTGCCCCAGTGACTAATGGATGAAGGCACTGGCCCTCCTAGGCCAGGGATTGTGGCTTAGAGACCCATCTGGGGTGATTTAAAGCAGAGTCGGGCTGCGGATGCTGTGATGGACCCAGAGGTCGATGGATTGAAACCATCCCCTTGCAAGTGAAAATTTAACCTCCTGTGTTAGCGTCCTCTGCAAACATGTGGATTTTGCCTGAAGATTCAGTGCCCATTTTAGAGATCCGCACCAGTGTTAGCCAACAATGGTTTTGCGCTCTCAATTATGAGGTGAATCGAGCCTGGGTTTGGCAATTTGAGTCCAAATACTCAGTCCTAGAGAAGCAGTGGGTAGTGTGCGCAGCGGAAGCGTGCTGGGCCCAAAACCCAGAGGCGCTGGATCGAAACCATCCCCTGCAAGATGCCAATTTGACCTCCCTGTGCTAGCGTCCCTCTGCAAACATGTGGATTTGCCTGAAATTCAGTGCCCATTTTAGAGATCCGCCAACCAGTGTTAGCCAACAATGGTTTTGCGCTCCTCAATTATGAGGTGAATCGAGCCTGGGTTTGGCAATTTGAGTCAAATACTCAGTACTACAAAGCAGGAGTGGCGCAGCGGAAGCGTGCTGGGCCCAAAACCCCAGAGGCGCTGGATCGAAACCATCCCCCTGCAAGATGCAATTTGACCTCCCTGTGCTAGCGGTCCCCTCTGCAAACATGTGGATTTTGCCTGAAATCCAGTGCCCATTTAGAGATCCGCAACCAGTGTTAGCCAACAATGCTTTGCGCTCTCAATTATGGAGGTGAATCGAGCCTGGGTTTGCAATTTGAGTCAAATACTCAGTGCTCCAAAGCAGAGTGGCGCAGCGGAAGCGTGCTGGGCCCATAACCCAGAGTCGATGGATCGAAACCATCCTCTGCTAGATGTGTGTTTATATCCACAAAGTCAATTGCCAATTTGACATCCAGGTCTAGCCACCTCAGCAAACATGAGGATTTTGGCTCAAATTCAGTGCCCATTTTAGAGATCCGCAACCAGTGTTAGCCAACAATCGTTTTTCACTCTCAATTTTGAGGGTGAATCGAGCCTGGGTTTGGCAATTTGAGTCAAATAGTTAGTACTACAAAGCAGAGTGGCGCAGCGGAAGCGTGCTGGGCCCCATAACCCAGCGGTTCGATGGATTGAAACCATCCTCTGCTAATTTCCGGAGTTTTCAATGTTTTAGTCCACCAAATGAATATCTGTTCAATGTATTGGCCACTAAATAAATTGCCATTGACATCCCAGTGCAGCCAATTCAGCAAGCATTAAGCCTCCTCACATTCTATGCACATTAAAAATTTTGGTACATATCCATATCCACTCTTTTGAAACCCACCTTTTCTGTTTTCAAACAATGCCAACATCTGGTTGGGATTAACCTTAGTAAACCTTTTGAACTGAAATCAATTTCTTTGCACCATATCTGCCCCAGTGGACTAATGGATAAGGCACTGGCCTCCTAGCCAGGGATTGGTGCGTTCGAGACCCCATCTGGGGTGATTTAAAGCAGAGTCGGGCTGCGGGATGCGTGATGGACCCAAGAGGGCGATGGATTGAAACCATCCCCTGCAAGATGAAATTTAACCTCCTGTGTTAGCGTCCTCTGCAAACATGTGGATTTTTGCCTGAAATTCATCGCCCATTTTAGAGAACCGCCACCAGTGTTAGCCAACAATGGTTTTGCGCTCTCAATTATGAGGTGAATCGAGCCTGGGTTTGGCAATTTGAGTCAAATACTCAGTACTACAAAGCAGAAGTGGCGCAGCGGAAGCGTGCTGGGCCCAAAACCCAGAGGCGCTGGATCGAAACCATCCCCTGCAAGATGCAATTTGACCTCCTGTGCTAGCGTCCTCTGCAAACATTTGGATTTTGCCTGAAATTCAGTGCCCATTTTAGAGATCCGCAACCAGTGTTAGCCACAATGGTTTTGCGCTCTCAATTATGAGGTGATCGAGCCTGGGTTTGGCAATTTGAGTCAAATACTCAGTGCTCCAAAGCAGAGTGGCGCAGGCGAAGCGTGCTGGCCCATAACCCCAGAGGTCGATGGATCGAAACCATCCTCTGCTAATTTCTGAGTTTTCAATGTTTTAGTCCACCAAATGAATATCTGTTCAATGTTATTGGCCACTAAATAAATTGCCATTGACAACCCAGTGCAGCCAATTCAGCAAGCATAAGCATCCCTCCTCACATTCTATGCACATTAAAAATTATGGTACAGATCCATATCCACTCTTAAAGAAAACCCAACCTTTTTCTGTTTCAAAACAATGCCCAACAGCTGGTTGGGATTAACCTTAGTAAACCTTTTGAACTGAAAGCAATTTCTTTGCAACATATCTGCCCCGGTGGACTAATGGATAAGGCACTGGCCTCCAAGGCCAGGGATTGTGCGTTCGAAACCCGTCTGGGGTGATTAAAAGCCATAGTGGGGCAGCGGATGCGTGATGGACCCAGAGGACGATGAATCGAACCATCCACTGTAAGTTGCAATTGACCTCCTGTGCTAGCGTCCTCTGTAAACATGTGGATTTTGCCTGAAATTCAGTGCCCATTTTAGAGATCCGCAACCAGTGTTAGCCAAACAATGGTTTTGCGCTCTAAATTATGAGGTGAATCGAGCCTGGGTTTGCCAATTTGAGTCAAATACTCAGTGCTCCAAAGCAGAGTGGCGCAGCGGAGGAGCGTGCTGGGCCCCATAACCCAGAGGGTCGATGGATCGAAACCATCCTCTGCTAATTTCGGAGTTTTCAATGTTTTAGTCCACCAAATGAATATCTGTTTAATGTATTGGCCACTAAATAAATTGCCATTGACAACCCAGTGCAGCCAATTCAGCAAGCATAAGCATCCCTCCTCACATTCTACTGCACATTAAAAATGTTGGTAAATATTCCATATCCACTCTTTTGAAACCCACCTTTTTCTGGTTTCAAACAATGCCAACATCTGGTTGGATTAACCTTAGTAAACCTTTTCGAACTGAAATCAATTTCTTTGCACCATATCTGCCCCAGTGGACTAATGGATAAGGCACTGGCCTCCTAGGCCAGGGATTGTGCGTTCGAGACCCATCTGGGGGGGAAGTGAATATAAAGCAGAGTCGGGCAGCGGATGCGTGATGGACCCAGAGGTCGATGGATTGAAACCATCCCTGCAAGATGAAATTTAACCTCCTGTGTTAGCGTCCTCTGCAAACATGGTGGATTTTGCTGAAATTCGGTGCCCATTTTAGAGATCCGCAACCAGTGTTAGCCAACAATGGTTTTGCGCTCTCAATTATGAGTGAATCGAGCCTGGGTTTGGCAATTTGAGTCAAATACTCAGTACTACAAAGCAGAGTGGGCGCAGCGGAAGCGTGCTGGGCCCAAAACCCAGAGGCGCTGGATCGAAACCATCCCCTGCAAGATGCAATTTGACCTCCTGTGCTAGCGTCCTCTGCAAACATGTGGATTTTGCCTGAAATTCAGTGCCCATTTTAGAGATCCGCAACCGAGTGTTAGCCAACAATGGTTTTGCGCTCTCAATTATGAGGTGAATCGAGCCTGGGTTTGGCAATTTGAGTCAAATACTCAGTGCTCCAAAGCAGAGTGCGCAGCGAAGCGTGCTGGGCCATAACCCGAAGGTCGATGGATCGAAACCATCCTCTGCTAATTTCTGAGTTTTCAATGTTTTAGTCCACCAAATGAATATCTGTTCAATGTATTGGCCACTAAATAAATTGCCATTGACAACCCAGTGCAGCCAAGTTCAGCAAGCATAAGCATCCCTCCTCACATTCTATGCACATTAAAAATTATGGTACAGATCCATATCCACTCTTAAAGAAAACCCACCTTTTTCTGTTTCAAACAATGCCAACAGCTGGTTGGGATTAAACTTAGTAAACCTTTTGAACTGAAAGCAATTTCTTTGCAACATATCTGCCCCCGGTGGACTAATGGATTAAGGCACTGGCCTCCAAGGCCAGGGATTGTGCGTTCGAAACCCGTCTGGGGTGATTAAAAGCATAGTGGGGCAGCGGATGCGTGATGGACCCAGAGGACGATGAATCGAAACCATCCCCTGTAAGTTGCAATTTGACCTCCTGTGCTAGCGTCCTCTGTAAACATGTGGATTTTGCCTGAAATTCAGTGCCCATTTTAAGATCCGCAACCAGTGTTTAGCCAACAATGGTTTTGCGCTCTAAATTATGAGTGAATCGAGCCTGGGTTTGCCAATTTGAGTCAAATACTCAGTGCTCCAAAGCAGAGTGGCGCAGCGGGAAGCGTGCTGGGCCCATAACCCAGAGGTCGATGGATCGAAAACCATCCTCTTGCTAATTTCGGAGTTTTCAATGTTTTAGTCCACCAAATGAATATCTGTTTAATGTATTGGCCACTAAATAAATTGCCATTGACAACCCAGTGCAGCCAATTCAGCAAGCATAAGCATCCCTCCTCACATTCTATGCACATTTAAAAATTATGGTACAGATCCTATCCACTCTTTTGAAACCCACCTTTTTCTGTTTCAAACAATGCCAACATCTGGTTGGGATTAACCTTAGTAAACCTTTTGAACTGAAATCAATTTATTCGCAAAAACGTCAGCCCCAGTGGCTACAAGGATAAGGCACTGGCCTCCTAAGCAGGGATTGTGGGTTCGAGTCCCGTCTGGGGTGATTTAAAGCAGAGTGGCGCAGCGGAAGCGTGCTGGGCCCATAACCCAGAGGTCGATGGATCGAAACCATCCTCTGCTAGATGTGTGTTTTATACCACAAAGTCAATTGCAATTTGACATCCAGGTCTAGCCCACCTCAGCAAACATGAGGATTTTGGCTCAAATTCAGTGCCCATTTTAGAGATCCGCAACCAGTGTTAGCCAACAATCGTTTTTCACTCTCAATTTTGAGGTGAATCGAGCCTGGGTTGGCAATTTGAGTCAAATAGTTAGTACTACAAAGCAGAGTGGCGCAGCGGAAGCGTGCTGGGCCCATAACCCAGCGGTCGATGGATCGAAACCATCCTCTGCTAATTTTGGAGTTTTCAATGTTTTTAGTCCACCAAATGAATATCTGTTCAATGTATTGGCCACTAAATAAATTGCCATTGACATCCCAGTGCAGCCAATTCAGCAAGCATAAGCCTCCTCACATTCTATGCACATTAAAAATTTTGGTACATATCCATATCCACTCTTTTGAAACCCCACCTTTTCTGTTTCAAACAATGCCAACATCTGGTTGGGATTAACCTTAGTAAACCTTTTGAACTGAAATCAATTTCTTTGCACCATATCTGCCCCAGTGGACTAATGGATAAGGCACTGGCCCTCCTAGGCCAGGGATTGTGCGTTCGAGACCCATCTGGGGGTGATTTAAAGCAGAGTCGGGCAGCGGATGCGTGATGGACCCAGAGGTCGATGGATTGAAACCATCCCCTGCAAGATGTAATTTAACCTCCTGTGTTAGCGTCCTCTGCAAACATGTGGATTTTGCCTGAAATTCAGTGCCCATTTTAGAGATCCACAACCAGTGTTAGCCAACAATGGTTTTGCGCTCTCAATTATGAGGTGAATCGAGCCTGGGTTTGGCAATTTGAGTCAAATACTCAGTACTACAAAGCAGAGTGGCGCAGCGGAAGCGTGCTGGGCCCAAAACCCAGAGGCGCTGGATCGAAACCATCCCCTGCAAGATGCAATTTGACCTCCTGTGCTAGCGTCCTCTGCAAAACATGTGGATTTTGCCTGAAATTCAGTGCCCATTTTAGAGATCCGCAACCAGTGTTAGCCAACAATGGTTTTGCGCTCTCAATTATGAGGTGAATCGAGCCTGGGTTTGGCAATTTGAGTCAAATACTCAGTACTACAAAGCAGAGTGGCGCAGCGGAAGCGTGCTGGGCCCAAAACCCAGAGGCGCTGGATCAAACCATCCCCTCCAAGATGCAATTTGACCTCCTGTGCTAGCGTCCTCTGCAAACATGTGGATTTTTGCCTGAAATTCAGTGCCCATTTTAGAGATCCGCAACCAGTGTTAGCCAACAATGGTTTTGCGCTCTCAATTATGAGGTGAATCGAGCCTGGGTTTGGCAATTTGAGTCAAATACTCAGTGCTACAAAGCAGAGTGGCGCAGCGGAAGCGTGCTGGGCCCATAACCCAGAGGTCGATGGATCGAAACCATCCTCTGCTAATTTCTGAGTTTTCAATGTTTTAGTCCACCAAATGAATATCTGTTCAATGTATTGGCCACTAAATAAATTGCCATTGACAACCCAGTGCAGCCAATTCAGCAAGCATAAGCATCCCCTCCTCACATTCTATGCACATTAAAAATTATGGTACAGATCCATATCCACTCTTAAAGAAAACCCACCTTTTTCTGTTTCAAACAATGCCCAACAGCTGGTTGGGATGCTGGTTGGGATTAACCTTAGTAAACCTTTTGAACTGAAAGCAATTTCTTTGCAACATATCTGCCCCCGGGTGGACTAACGGATAAGGCACTGGCCTCCAAGGCCAGCGATTGTGCGTTCGAAACCCGTCTGGGGTGATTAAAAGCATAGTGGGGCAGCGGATGCGTGATGGACCCAGAGGACGATGAATCGAAACCATCCCCTGTAAGTTGCAATTTGACCTCCTGTGCTAGCGTCCTCTGTAAACATGTGGATTTTGCCTGAAATTCAGTGCCCATTTTAGAGATCCGCAACCAGTGTTAGCCAACAATGGTTTTGCGCTCTAAATTATGAGGTGAATCGAGCCTGGGTTTGCCAATTTGAGTCGAATACTCAGTCGCTCCAAAGCAGAGTGGCGCAGCGGAAGCGTGCTGGGCCCATAACCCAGAGGTCGATGGATCGAAACCATCCTCTCCTAATTTCGGAGTTTTCAATGTTTTAGTCCACCAAATGAATATCTGTTTAATGTATTGGCCACTAAATAAATTGCCATTGACAACCCAGTGCAGCCAATTCAGCAAGCATAAGCATCCCTCCTCACATTCTATGCACATTAAAAATTATGGTACAGATCCATATCCACTCTTTTGAAACCCACCTTTTTCTGTTTCAAACAATGCCAACATCTGGTTGGGATTAACCTTAGTAAACCTTTTGAACTGAAATCAATTTTTTCGCAACACGTCAGCCCCAGTGGCCTAATGGATAAGGCACTGGCCTCCTAAGCCAGGGATTGTGGGTTTCGAGTCCCGTCTGGGGTGATTCAAAGCAGAGTGGCGCAGCGGAAGCGTGCTGGGCCCATAACCCAGAGGTCGATGGATCGAAACCATCCTCTGCTAGATGTGTGTTTTATACCACAAAGTCAATTGCAATTTGACATCCAGGTCTAGCCACCTCAGCAAACATGAGGATTTTGGCTCAAATTCAGTGCCCATTTTAGAGATCCGCAACCAGTGTTAGCCAACAATCGTTTTTCACTCTCAATTTTGAGGTGAATCGAGCCTGGGTTTGGCAATTTGAGTCAAATAGTTAGTACTACAAAGCAGAGTGGCGCAGCGGAAGCGTGCTGGGCCCATAACCCAGCGGTCGATGGATCGAAACCATCCCTCTGCTAATTTTGGAGTTTTCAATGTTTTAGTCCACCAAATGAATATCTGTTCAATGTATTGGCCACTAAATAAATTGCCATTGACATCCCAGTGCAGCCAATTCAGCAAGCATAAAGCCTCCTCACATTCTATGCACATTAAAAATTTTGGTACATATCCATATCCACTCTTTTGAAACCCACCTTTTTCTGTTTCAA